GTTAAGGCCGAAACAAATTGCTAACTCATTTTCCGCGCTGATAAGATCCATCCTGAGCATGGTTCTCTGTTTGCTAGGTAATGGACTCCAGATTTATCCAATGGGGCTGAATTTTGGATATGTTATAGTACACACANGAGCATGGTTCTCTGTTTGCTAGGTAACGGACTCCAGATTTATCCAATGGGGCTGAATTTTGGATATGTTATAGTACACACAAATTGGAACAACGTTCATGAAGAATGTGGCCTCATTCGAGCTATGTAGGTTGCTGAAACAAGGCTTGACATATGACCTACGAAACTGGACTGGCAGGGGGCTGTAGCCAAAATGAGTTTGTCTTTAAGCTCTTCTTCCCTTTATCAAAATCAGGCTTTAACATGCATGGATTGCATCATTTCCTATCCAAAGCCATCATTGTTCCCTAAAGCTGAAAGATAAACACAAAAAGGATTAAAAGTACAAGTTTAACTCAAAAACATAACCAAATCATAAGCTAGAAGGGTACAAAATGATATACAATTATGAACCGATCAGGCATGCGGTTGATAAGATAGGCAGCTGTTTTAAAGGCGTAAGACCAATAGGTGAGAGGTAAAGAAGCTTGATGAAGAAGGGTGAGACCTATTTCAACAATATGACGATGTCGCCGTTCGGCGACCCCATTGTGTTGCGGAGTGTGAGGTGGTGTAAGAAGATGGGTGATGCCATTGGATGAGAGGAAATGTTGGAGTTTGATGAATTCTCCCCCACCATCAGTGTATAATCTAGTGATTTTTCTTTTGAAGTAATTTTCGACAAGTGCCTTGAAGGTGACAAAAGTGGAAAACACATCAGATTTCTTTTTGAGAGGGTAGAGCCATATGTATTTTGTGAAATGGTCAACAAATATAACATAGTAGGAAAAACCATCAATAGAAGAATATGGAGCATTGCCCCAAACATCACTATAAATGAGATCTAATGGACCATGACTAGTGAGAGACGAAGTACCAAATGGGAGCCGATGGCTTTTATTACATAGACACGAATGACAAACAGACTCGGACAACTTGGAAGACACATTAATGGAAGACAAACGAAGGACTTGTTGGAGAGTTTTGTGACTGGGGTGACCAAGACGACGATGACAGAGGTTGGGAGAGACCACCACACCCACCAGAGCTTGCGGTTGACAAAAGGATTTGGGAGACCACTCGTACACATCATCCTTATTCGGGCCTCGAAGAAGAACCGCCCCCGTGCTCAGATCCTTGACATGAAAGAAATCAGGAAAAAGTTCAATAGATGTATTATTTTGTTTATTAAATTTAGAAATAGAAATAATGTCTTTTTGCATAGAAGGAACACAAAGAACATTGGATAAGGTGAAAGATTGGGAGGATGAGGAGGGTAAAGTGGTTGAACCGACATGAGTGATACCCAAACCTGAACCATTACCAATTATTATTTCATCAGGACCATCATATGGAGAGGCACCAGAGAGAGTGTTGACGTTGGAGGTAACATGGTGAGAGGCACCGGAATCAAGCAACCATGTTGGAGAAGAGGTGGGCCTACCATGGGTGGTAGGATTGGCCACTGGCTGACTGTGAGGTCCAGATTGGAGTTGGGGGCAGCGTTTGGCACTATGACCTTGAGTGCCACACCATTGACAGAAACCACGATAACCTGTGCTGTTCATGTGGGTAGAGCGACGACTATTGTCAGTGAAAGCTGGTTGGGTGGGCCCGTAGGAACCACGAGAATTGTTGTCAATGGAAGATGCGTGGGGGTGCCCGAAGGAACCACGAGATGGATTGCGAGAGGCAAAGGACCCACAGTTGGAGTTGGAGTTGTTAGAGCGATAGCCACGGTTTGAGGTGTGAGAGCGAGATGTCTGAGTGACATTGGCAGTGATCACTGGGGCAGCAACAGCGGTATCATCACGCTTGAGAGCGGCTTCATGTTCAACCAGCTTGTCATGGAGGTTTTCAAAAGAAATTGAGGTGTCACGGGAACGAACCACCGCAGCAATTTCCTTGAAGTCAGATCCAACACCATTAAGAATGTAGAGGAGGAGATCGTCATCAGAGAGGGGAACATCAATGATAGCGAGCTCATCTGCAATAACGCGGACTTCTTGCAGATACTCGGAGACAGACCTGTTCTCCCGGCGCAGGAGAGTAAGGCGTTCTTTGAGACCAAGAACGCGGGCACGAGCTTTGCTAGCAAAGAGATGGAGAAGCTTGTCCCAAGCCTCCTTGGATGTCTTGGCAGAGGCGATAAGGGAGATGACCTGTGGTGAGACGGAAGCAAGAATCGCATGGAGGAGGAGTTGATCTTGCCGAATCCAAAAGGTGCGAAGCACGGTTTGAGTGGTTGATGGGCAGAGACTAGAACCGTCCACATAACCCATGAGGTCATAGCCATAGAGGAGGGCGTTGAATTGAGCACGCCATGATGGGTAATTGGTGGGTGTGAGTTTCACGGGTAGTTGGGCTGTAGCGTTGATTGTGATCAAGGTGGGAGTGGAGGAGTTGATCTCTGGTACAGAGATGGTTGCAGAGGCGTCAGTAGCCATGGTTGAAGACAGAGAAGAGAGGAATCAGGAAAAAAAAAAANNNTCAGGAGAAAAAAAAATTGCTCATTGGAGTTTTGGGGCTGTGATACCATATAAGAGCTGAGATCAATTGGTATATTTCATTGATTTGTTTACAGGTACAGGTCTATGATTATATACAGTTTGAATACAATCCTAATAAGGTAAATACAATCAGACTTGAGTGACTGAATCAATCCTAATCAAATAGAATAGGAAAGACAGCTTAGCATATATATTATAGTTGACTTTCATATGGAGGAGCCGATTGTGTTGTTGATGGAGCAGATTGAGTTGTTAATGAACTGATCTCCTTTGATATAGGAGATTCCCTAATAAAAGTATGGATGGGCATGCTATTGGGAAGATCATTGTGGAGCCTTAAGTAGATAAAGTATCTTTGGATTGTAAACTTCATGTACTTATTTTGGGATTGTATATTTCTAATCTCTATTTCCTATGATTTTGTAAAAGAAAGCAAAGAAAATTTCAAGGAGAAAACAAGGTCTTGGCTTGTAGAAGCAGATAAAACATTCAAAATGATGCTCTCATCTGGTTTTATATACTTCATGATCATATCTTTGATTTGATCATAGATATTCTCAGGCTGGCCATGAACTGGAACTCTAGTAATTCCAGGGAGGTCAACCATGGTCAAATCAGGCACACCATTCTTCTTCACCAACAAGGTCAATGGGGTGTCTGAAATTCCCTTCTTGTGTCCTGCAATCAGATTAGTGGCATTCACAATGTCTTCAGAAACTTTGTCCTCATCAGTGTGCTCAACTCTGCCATTGTACTCCAGTGAAAGCTCTGGTTGAGGATCAGAGTGGTGCTGAAGCCTCATTACGAGAGGAACCCTTGTGCAGATACCTTGTCCACGCGGCAGGCTGATGCCGGCAAGGGACTCAAGAACACTGGATTTGCCAGATGACTGGTCTCCCACAACAACAATGGTGGGCAGCTGGATGCCTTCCTCCATAACCATGAGGATGCGGAGCTTGTCAATGGCATCAAGCATAGGGCGAATTTTGTCGTTGTAGGATGAGACAATTGGCGCGTTGTTGAAAAGTAGCTGTGCTTTTGATGAGGAAGATGATAAGCCTTCTTGATCATCTTGTAAAATGGATGAGCTTGATGATCTGCTTCCTGAATCAGTTTGAGTTCTCCTTCCTCCCATTTTCTGAGATATAATTGAAAGCAAATCGGAGGAGGAAATCATGTTCAAACCGAGAGAGGAGAAAAAATTGAAGGGGGTTGTTTTAGGCAAACTTGACCTCTGCCTAACAGAGAAATCATGGATAAATAGGGAAAAAAGATACATGAACATGACATGCACAATGTGAAAGATGCAGACATAGGAATCTTTCACCTTAGTATGGGAATTTATGCTTTGGTTTTTGTTTTACATCGCAAGGAACCTTATGCTTTTGTACATCAAATAGTGACTGAAACTGCACGAACCAGTCACTTCAATAATGCATGACACTGACAAGTTACAACACAAAATGGTGTCTACACCATCAAAAGTATCAGTGAAGTTCTCTTCAGCGTTCCCACTATCACACGAATTTAAACGCAGGAATATAAGAGTGAAGACTTTTATACCATCTCCAAAGGTAAAAGACTCAAACCCGAAATTTCACCTCCAGAAATACAACTTTTCATCCATACATAGGACTCAAACATTTTTTTTTTCCTAATCCTATAGACTCAATCAGTTTTTCGGAAATCTTAAAGCCACCAATTAATAAACCAAGTTATTGATACCAACTATATTGCACATGACATAGCGATCTCATCTATTCTAATCACTCAAATTTGAACTCCTACTATTTTGAGGCCTTCACATTTGAAGGCCATTACTGTAGATACACCAGTCCATTTTCTGGCGCAATACTATCGCCCGCTTGCACAAGGGTGAAGCCACAGCAAGGCCTGCCATGGCCTGGCCCCTCCTTAAAATATATGATATAGCAATATAATTACTGCAATTAGATTAGTGTTGGCCATCTCAGAAAATGAAAAACCTATGTGTAAGTGATTTTGTAATTTTGGCCCCTCCATGCTAAGAATCCTAACTCCGCCACTGCACTTGCATATCACATTTCGTGTTCTTAAGAAATCTGCATATTATATTCAAGAATCAAGCTCAATCGCATAATAGTAAGAAAAGGAAAAGACTCAATATTTAGAGCACACTTGGAGCCCTAAGTGGTGTGCTCTCCAAGAGCATAGCATTTCAGGGCATGATGAAGCTGATCATCTAGTTTCATACAGGACTTGCACTCTTGCTTGTTTGAAGCCAAAAGAGAATTCTTATTAGGATAGGCACAATTCATATATTTACATGGTTAAGAGCACAATAGAAAACGAGGGTGCATTTGTCGTTGACATCTTCAACGAGAGTGGAGATTTTATCATAGGAAGTGTCACTTTGCGTAGTGCAAAGGCCCTGCTATGCTATGTGCTCATCTGTTAGAGTCTACCTATGTAGTATTGCCTTGAATGAGTCGTACCTAAAATAATAAAAACTCAACTAAGTAATGAAGAAGAGTGAAATTGTGTTCGGTGACGATTCGTCTAAATTACTTGTACAATTTTTTGAGCTCAGTATATTCCTCTCATAAAAATCATGAACGGCTCAATTATAAGAAATTTGTTTGGAATGGTGTATCTTTGGATAATAATTCTTAAAGAAATTCTATCCAAAAACATAAAACTCAAACCATTGTGTTTGTTTTAACGTCCTCTTAAAAAATAATTGTATATTTAGATGACTCAAACGAGAATTTTTACTGTTGACAAAAAAAACAGAAGAAACCAAAAAAGTTGCAAATTGCAACCTCTGTCGAACGGACAAGAAGGGCCCACTAGATCCCGCCGTTGAATCACCACCGTTCCGTTCAAACAGCCAAAACGAACTCAGCATGCTTCCAACCACCAATCCGCTGACTTCTTCAACCGTTTCGAAAATCGGCTGCAACAGACACATCTTTTGCGCCAAATTTACAACCCCATTTCACCAATCAAAAGACCAAATGTTAGCTCATCTTCGAGCTCCACGCCACGTGTAAGTATGGCAATGATGAAGCTCAATGCATCCCGTGATCGAGAATGCACCGAAACCCAGCACCGTGCAATGGTAGGAAATATCTAGAAATTTCTTCAAAAGTGGGGCCAGCATTTGACCTCTAAGCCACGTGACTTTGACGACCCTCACCGTCTGATCCGATCCGTTTTCTAAGCGCTTTAATTTATTTATTTCTTCAACATTTTTATTTTCTCTCTCTAGATTTTTATTTTTCTCTCTCTAAGCGCAACCCAACACCCGGGCCCTCATTTTTCCCTCTCTTTCTCTCTGCAACCAAACCCTAAAAAACGCCAAGGAAATCTGAAATCCATTGCCATTGGATGATGCGAGAGAGCGCCGGTCACCGCCGTCGAAGCCCAGAGAAGCAGTGGTGGGCGAATTATTCGGTGCGGGCGTGAGCATTGTGAAAATCTTGTGCCAACCAAACAAACGATTCCAATGGCTGAAGAGAAAGGGAGAAATTCTTGAAGATTGTTAAAAAGGAATTTGAAAATAAAAAGGATTGAGTTTTGTCCGTTGGGGGTGCTTAGCATGTGTGATTTAGTGGCCCGTACGGGTCGGCATCAGCAACGCTACGAGGCCGGTTGTCGCCTTGTTGCCGGGTACTTACATTTCTTCGAATCTATATTTTATATATTTGCATATGTGTATGTGTGTTTATTTGTTTGTGTATGTTTGATTTTGATTGATGTTGATGTTGTTTGTTTATGTGGTATTTTGGTGGTGGAGGTGGACCAATGTGTTTCCATAGTTGGAGAATTTTGCTTGTGATATGGTTTTCTGATTTTGTATAATATCTTTTGATTGGTTGATGCCTACCATTTGGATTTTTAAGTGGTGGGGATTAATGGGTTTCTTTTGTTTGATTGTGAGTGTTCATATATACATGTTTATTATATGGGGTAGGTGAGAAATGCTGTTTTATTAGGACAAGCAATGACCTTGTGTTATGTGAGAATGATCTATATTTTTTTCATCAGAAATCTTTGTCGAATCACATATGAACGTTTTCTTCCATTTGCAAATCTTTTTGGCCTTCATTAACTATGTCATTTACTGTTTGAGGATTTGGGAAACTAGGAATTTTTTAAAATGGTGATGCAGTAAATAAGATTATTTCAGTGATATGATTGGGGAAATTGTCATTGAGGCAATGATTGTGGGCAAGGACCCAACTTCTGAAGTACGAAAGTGGCCTTGTGAGGTGAATTTCTTATTACATGAAGACATGCTGCAATCGGATAAGTCAAGGAGTTGAGTTAAACAAAAATTTGAAAGGAAATGATGTTCCATTATTTATATGTCCACATTTCATGCAGAGGGCCTAGGGAAGTCAAAGCTTCTAGCCACCTACTTGGGCACGGCTTTCTGTATAGTATATTATACCGCAATCAGGAGTTTTTGTCAGCTGCTGCTAATTTTTGTAGACAATGGTCCTGCCATCTTTAAGAGGCCGCTCTTTTATTTTTGGGTGATCTGTGCGATTAGATGAAATAGGCTGTCGATCACACATATAAAGGGTGAGCTTGGTAATATGACAATAAATAATTTTTTTGCCAGGGCCGAGAGATCATGCAGACATTCATATTTAGATCAGAGTATCTTTTTTTTGTAACCGATCTTAAATTAGCTTTGATATTATTTGCTGGTACATGTGTGACCAATTATTTTTTCTCTGATGTGAAAAAGCTAACTCAGTTAACCTTTGACAGGTGTATTCCATTTAGATACAAAAATTCTGATGAGACTGGTGATGCCAATTCTGAGAAGATTATTGAGGTGCTTATGATTAACTCACCTAGTGGACCAGGCCTTTTGTTCCCAAAGGTATTTCTTGTTTTCTGTTGGAATTTAAAATTGTTGGACTTTGTGAGATCTTTCTTTCTGAACTTTAGTTTTAGGAATAACTTATTTTTAGATATAATTTATTTTTCTTCTGTCGCCTTACTAATAGATACATGGTAAAAATGAGTTTAAAGGTGTGAAAAATGTCACTCTCCAAGTAATCTATGATTGATGGTTGCTGGATAGCAACTTGAGGTTGATAAGAGGTAAAACTATTGTCTTTTCTTGTATCACCTTTAGATACATTTAAGTACCAATATAATCACCCGGGGCTTTGAAAACTTAGAGCAGAAAATATCTGCCATTTTCTATTGGCTGTAAGTGTATCCCAGTTACCTCAGTTATCAACATGTAGGACGCATTCTCTTTTACCTGCTATTTGGGTGGGTTATTTTCAGAGGCTTCATAGAAATCGTCTGATTAAACCTTCTATTTTTCTGATTAAGTATGACAATAGTTTGTTTTTGGAGAAAAATGAATTTGTTAAGAGACGTGGGCAATAGTTCTATTGCATGATTCAATTAATTATTAGGCCCTTAGATGTATTTCCTCACTTTTGTTTTGACATCTTTAATTTTTAGCTGGCAACAGAACTATGGTTATGATTTATCATTTGCCCAAGATATGCAAATGTAGATATGGATGCTTTTGTTGTGATGTTATAGTGCCCTCTTTTATGATTGGAACTAGATTAACACTTTTGGACTTTTGTTCTTCTGATTTTAATTTCGTGAGAAGAAATATAGTCAACTGGTTCTGTATAATTCTGTGTTTATTGTTGAGTTTATTTAATTGTTTAGGTGATATTATGTTTGAAATGTGATGACTTCTTTGTGGACATGCAATTCGAAGTTAAGTTAACACTTGTAAAATATTCATGATCTGCATACCCGTAGAGTTATACAATCTCGTGTTTTCCTTTGTTGTTTACCCTTTATGACATTCGAAGAAAGTGTGAAAAACTAGTGAGTTTTAACACTGGGGGTGGTAATTTGGATTTGATTAAATGAAATGAGGAACTACTAAGGAAAGTGAAAAATGACAGCACTTGGATGTTTCAGTTTTGCAGCTTCTTACAAATTGGGGCTTATTTTATGGTATATTCTTGCTTTATTGATTATTATTGTGTCCTGTCATGCGTATTGTAAGTTGGGTTGTGATTGTTCAAATGTGGAATGTATGTAGTGGGCCTGTGAAGTGCTCTCATGTTCTTGTTTACTGTTGATTTGGGAGCTGTAATATATACTGTATCGGGAAGTTGAAGGCAATGTGAATTTGAAATATTGGGAAGGTGTTGAAGCTGTACTTGAACATATGTTTACATTAGGAATGCTGGAGATATACTAATCAATTGAGACTTTATGTCTTTAGTGTTAAGCACAAGTTTATAACAACTATTATGTGCTTCCGCCAGGTGGGATATATGTAACTCTTTTATTTCTGAACATGTTATCCACTTGTAGGGAGGCTGGGAAAATGATGAAACCGTTGAAGAAGCTGCAGTAAGGGAGGCTGTTGAAGAAGCTGGAGTTCGAGGAGAGCTAATGGTGAAATACATCTCCTTAACTTTTATTTGTTCTAAGATTTATTCTGTGAAGGGGGTAGAATAAAGTTGTATTATTAGCATTGAATATTTGCATGTGTTTTGATACTTGTCTTCTACCAAAAAAATTTATATTTGTTGTCCTGTCTTCCCAGTAGATGGTTAAAGCAGAGCAACTGTTAATCTTTTTGAATTTCAGGATTTCCTGGGGTTTTATCATTTTAAGAGTAAAACACACCAGGATGAGTTCAGCCCGGAAGGTGTATGTAGAGCTGCTATGTTTGCTTTGTTTGTCAAGGAGGAGCTCGAGTCGTGGCCCGAACAGAGCACCCGAAACAGAACTTGGCTGACTGTAGCAGAGGCCTTTGTCAGTTGCCGGCATGCATGGATGAGAGAGGCCTTGCAGGATGGCTTCTCAAAGTGGCATGCAGAAAAGATGATAAGTGCAAGTAAGGATGTGACATTGAGTTGCTAGTTGGGGTATGAGGCTGAACAAAAGGTCGTTTCGGGTGCATGCTCATAAACATAGATACAGGTGCTGGAATTGGTTTTTTTTTTGGGGGGCATTTTTCTATTTTTCAGTTGGTCATCAAGTAACAACCTCTTAACAATATTAACTGTTCAAAATTACCTAGTCACTGCCCCTTAAAATTTATTCTTGTTTCCAGTTGATCTCTCTGATATTTAAACTCGGAGGGTGAAGTTTCAGCTTCCCTGTATAACATTTTCTGTTGCATAAATGTTTAATTGCCCTATTCTCTAATGGTGCATTATTGTAAAGTTGGAAACAAATTTCCAAAGATCATTCTTTACAAAGCTTTTGCAAATTAAAAGCGTTAGGTTGCTGGGTGGGAGTGGGACTCAAAGTTTTATAAGTACCTTTATAAAGCTTTTCAGGTCTCATAAGATCCAACGGGCAGAGATAAATTTGAACAATACGCACCATATATTTAAACAAAAATTAAAAAAATCCTTAAATTATGTGAAGGATGATGTGAATTTATAGCACATAAGTTTATTTCTTCATATCATGACAAGCGGAAGTGATTTACAATTACACTTGGGTTGAAAGCAGCAACTGCAAGAAGCATCTCATAACGTTCAAATCTAGCTATCACTTGCTCTTCCAAGGTCACCAAAGCTTCAATAGAGTATTAACCAACATTATAGGTTTTTGTAGACAAGGGAAATTTGCAAAACGTGTACAACAAACGATATCGAATCCCATCCTACCAAGTCCAATCCAAATAGAGAGTCAAAACAACCATTCTTGATGTCCATTACATCTTGTTCAGTAAGGGCAGTCTGAAAGCATAGAGAACATCATCCTCAGATCAACCCCGTCCTATTAACTTTGCGACTTCGATTCATATCGCCTTATTCAAGCCACAAAATACACATACTACAGACACAAAAGTCGGTTTGTCAGACAATCCTGTTGAGGGAAAATTGTAAATAGCAAACAAATATCTCCCAACACACAAATGGGAGCTGTTTTTTTTTTTTTTTTGTCCATTAATGGGGTTGGGGAATTCAAACTTGGGATCTATTTCAACATCCGTGAGATACAACATTTCCTCCAAATTTATTAGGGGGAAGTGCGATGTGCATTGCTGTAGATAAGACAACTATTCAACATCATAATAAACTGTAAACACTACAAATGAGGCATCGCATTCTCCATAACATAAATAATGAGCTTACATAATTGTTTATTCATCAAACATTGATAAGCCTGTAACTACTGATAAATCACAGCATGCATTCAACGGACAGTTGAAATCACAAGTTTTTCTAATGACCTGCAGCACCGTTGTGCATGCATTTTGAGTTGTGTTTCAATCAAAGTTAGAAGCATTACCTGAAAACTATCATCCAAGTAAAGAATAAACAAGTGCTTTGGAGACAAGTTTCAGGTTACTCAACGGCAAATGATTCGAGAGGAGAAGCAATAAATAAGTAAACTGATCCCCAACATACCACTCTCTTGATCTCAGAAAATCGCCAGAAGTTTTCAAATAGATTCATTTGTCTCCACAGATAACAATTGCCAAATGACTCCTGAGTATCCCATTAAAGCTGGACCTTTTGTCCCATAAGGAACCCAATCATGAGTCGCAGTTGCTGAGTTTTCTCTTCTTTTTTTCATAAGACAAGAAATCCCATACTTACGGAATCACAACGACGATGTAATGATGCTTACCCAGGCCAGCTGCTTCTGGAGAACAATTACTAACAGAGCAGGAATAAAAGTCTGAAAACCATTCCAAGATACCATTAATATAGCGCGTACGCACATAAAAATCAAGAAAGTGTGCGAAACTTATATTTCATATGCTCTCTCTGCCATTGACTCAAAGAAAAGGTTAATAGTTATGGGATTGGAATATCGTTATGGTAGTGCACTCACTCTGGGTTCATCTCTTCGCAAGGCCACTAAGTAGAAAAATAAACTGAAACAGCAATAGAAGAGTAGACAAAAGAAACATATGGGTTAGAGAACTGATAACGTCTAATTTGAAAAGTAGACAAAATAAATTGTTGTTTTCACTCCTCTCCAGAATAGTTAATACTGAACCCCAACAGAAGCAAGACATGAGTGTATCCTATCAAAAGCAATTTTCCAAGGCAGCATCAAGGGGTTAAAAAGTTGCAACATCATACGTCCTGGATATCCACTTTTCCTTGGTATACACACAACAACTGAGGTACTTCACCCAGATAACTGTCAACAAATCTCTCCAAGAACTCCTTCTCCACAGGTCCAAACACAGAATATAAGCTCAGTTTTTCAGTATTTATCAATCCTTTCGACAACAAAACTCTAACAACCGAACACCTCGGGATGGTTCTCTTCTGCAAACTATAATTCAAAACATATGGGGACTTGAGAATTATTTCTGACGACCATCCCATCTTGTTCACTAAAAGATCCATTGTTTGCATTATTTTCTTCTCTGACAGAGCAATACACTCCGGGCGCCTCCTGAAAGCAGAGAGAACATCAGCCTCCGACCAACCCCACCTGCTATAAACTTCACAATTTCGCTTCAATATCCGCTTATAATATGAACGACACATTATGCTTATTGCCAACACGGAAGTCGACTTTTCCAGGTTAAAACCCATTTCCTTAACCTCTTTCACAACTTGGCGAAACTTTTCAGTATCATGTATCAAAGCATGCGTACAATGACCTAGCAACAGAGAAATGCATGATTTAGGCATACCTAATTCTCTCAAAATCGCGATATTTGGCACTACTTTCTTGGTGTGGGCTTGCAAGAAAATCGACGAGTTGTACTTGAAAACAGAAACGATATTTTTCTCAGGAAGCAGACTCCTCAGGAAATTATAAGTGGGCACAAGCTGTTTCTCCAAGCTTCTTTGCAAAAGATTTGGATTCAGAACCAGCGTTTTTGCGAGGTCCTCCCTTGAAACTCCAAGAGAGCTGAAAAACTCAAGCTTTGGCAAAAGGGTTTTCTCAGGCCTGGCTAAAAGAAGTTGTGGGCGGGTTTTGCAAAACTTTGAGATCTGGGTTGTAGAGAATCCATGATTTCTCAGAAGCCCCAAAACGGCGTCTGCATTTTCTGGGGACTGCAACTTGATCCACTTGGATGTTGAAATCGCATCTTCTGGCGACAACCCACATGAGGTTATGAGGTAATTGACGGTGAAACTGTGTTGGTCTGCTGAGATTTCTGAGGTGAACTGTCTGCAGAGTATCCGATTTTGAACAGAAAAATGTGAGGGTTTTAGATCCCCAGCAATCAATATTTCAGTTCTGGAAGGAAATGTAGAAGGAGATAGTAAACAAACCAATCTGAGGCTCTTCAACTTGGAGAGCGGTACCATGGCAGAGGTCGATGATGATTGTTAGGAGCGTAATGGCTAGAGAAAGAGAAAGAGACGAAATAGAAATTGGAAATTGACAATATTCTCATTCATGCCAAGACTCAACTCAGCGCAAAGTTAAATACAAGGTATGATTCCTACACGTGTTCTGCCACAACACACCTTACGTCCTGATCATCTGGATATCAGGTTATTGGCAAAAACATAAAAGATCCTACTAAGGGGGTGTATCCAATTCATACTTATAAAGACTTTTTTTAAATAAGTGACTTTTATAGAGTTGATAAATTCTTAAATACTTTCATAGAGTTGATAAAAGTCACTAGTAAATTGGCAAGACTTTTGCTCTTAACAATTAGTCTTAAAAGTACGGAAAAGTCATTCATTTAATAAGTTTTTTAAAAGTCATTAACTTTTTGAATACCACCAAACTTTTAAATATTCTTTAAAAGTCATAACTGGATACCACCAAACCCTTTTAAATCAAAGGCTGTCCCCTGACTTCCAAGTTAGGAAAACGCTGCAGCATCTCGTTAGCGTCTTCCCAAGTGGCATCCTCTGAATCCAAACCAACTCATTTAATCAACCAACGAGTGACTGGTTTATTCCTGTTAGCGAAATCCTAGTGTAATTAGGAGATTTACTTCCTAGTATATTAGGATTTTATTTATTTCCTTTTTTTGTATAGATATTATGTAATTAGGACTTTAGCTTATTTCCTAGTATAACCCTGCTATGGTTTGTAACCTTATATTATAAATACCTCCTTTCGGAGAATGAAATGTAACTGAAAATATTCTACCCACTTTGTTTGACAATTCCCACATTTGAATAGGCCCCTGTCCAAAATCTTTTCAAGTTCCCACTGCAGTGTGCTGTTTGGTTCATTTTTACACATGATTTTTCATGTTATTCACCTCTTATTTTGAGTTAGTTCTTGACATTTTATAGCTTTTTACTTCTTTTTTGTGTTTTAATAGGTTTTACCTTGGTTATAATGAAAATGAGCTAAAAGTGCATTATTAGTGATAAATTCTGTTTTTGTTCATTTTCGTAGGTCAACTTCTTGGCCTCGGATCAGCATGCTCCGGTGCTCGGATGAGGTGAAGATCTTCATGAAACTTGTTCCAATGGATGTTGACTACAACATATCCAAATTTGAGCTCCATTGGATAAGTATTGCCTATCCAACCAATCCAGCATGTTACCACAGCTCTGGAAATCCAACTTGGCCAGTTTTCACCTCCACTTAGTGTGATCTTACTTCTACTTGTTACCATGCCATTTGGTAACAATAATTTACTTTAGTTAAGTGGAATTTTCTGAGAGTATATTTGTGAGGACAAAACTTCATCATGAGAGGAGACAAGAAAACAAAGGCAAAAGTGTGCCATGATGAAAGGAGGAGAGAGAGGAGCATAGAGAGGAATCAATTGACTTTGGGCAGATTGGAAGGGCAGCAGCTAAGGAACGTATCATTCATTCAGTTTTTATTCCATTTTGCAGTGACTTTCTAAAAGCTGGGAGCTAGAGAGCTAGAGGAGGAAGACAAAGTCATCCAAGCAAGAAGTGGAAGAGATTTTCCACCATTGAAGACCTTGAGCTTCCACCTTCACAAAAGCTGTAACTTCTTTCTAGTTTTAATTTGAATTTGTGTTTGAAGTAAGTATGTGTAACTAAACTCCATAGCTAGGGCTTAGGTTGAAGCCCTAAACATGATTACCTTATTGTTTTGATGCTTGAGTGTATGAATTTCTAGATATTGTTGATGAATTCCAATTCACCAAATTAATCTATCCTTGATGTATGTTCTTCTTTGATTGATCACCTTTGAAAGCATGCTTCTTGAGATTGTTGGGATTATGTGTATCCTCATGTTATCCTAAGCAATAAATGGATGAAGTAAGAATCATCCATGTGAATTGGTTTCTTGAATACCTAATGTAAACACCATGCTATTAGGATTCTTGTGATGTTCATATTCTCTTTGAACTTAATGGGTTCTCCTTGTAATTGAATCGAAGTACGAACCATACCTAGGTTCGGTTATGGGGAGGGCACAAATATTGTAGCACGAACCATGCACTTTACGTATATTAGAGAGAATCAATGAGTCTTGAGCCACGACCCATGGTCTTGATTGCGAACATCTTCATCAACAAGTTTAGAGTTCATCACTTGAGTATCCATGAACATAGGTAGAATTGTTTAGGGTGGATTCCGAAACCCTAGTGTTTGTTACATTTTAATTTCACAATTTGATAATTCATCCCTGCTATTCTCATTTAAATTCAAAGTTCATTTACTTTCATGCAATAGAAATAGGTCACTTCAAACAAATCAAAACCCCCCCCCCCCCAAATGTGTGTGTGAGTTGCGTGTTCGACACATTGTGTGTCTTGTTTACTGAATTCTGTTTATTTGCGTAACTGTTTTGGACTTTTGGTCTGCGTTGTGTTCTTCCATTTTCTGTGCTGATTCCAACCGTATAAAGAACGTGAAATTTGGATAAACGGTTGGAAAGTTATAGGCAAAACACTGGACAGAGGTCGAAACTGAAAAACAGAGAAACGAATCTGCCCAAAAACGACCGGTCGTCACTGTTCACTGTTCACGGCACTGTTCATGTCACTGTTTACTGTTCGCGGCACTGTTCACA